AATAATAAAGTTAAAAAGGTATTACTGTACTTTCTTCAAAACACATAAGTTTGCTTTCACTGAGATTGTATTGTCTAATTAATTTGGGAAAACAAATATGGTGAAGATTATGATGTCATGACTTTTCTAAATAGCTATTTATTTATATATTTATTTATCTTAGTTATTTTTTATGTGAAGTTAAGTAACGGCTGATCTTCTTCAGTGACATCAATTAAAACACTTTCTCTTCTAGTGTTAGTGAAACTAACTAGTATTTGAACAGATCATTTAGGCTACTTAAAGGTGTGTGGAGCCTTTTGAATGGTCAAATATAGATTTTAGTTGAAGCTGTGTCTAAAGTAAAGAGGTATAGATAGATATATATAACTGATTAATGTCATCCTAACTGATCTGCAACAGAAAAAAAAATTATTTGATTTTGATCTTTTTGGAGTAGCCTACTAGTGGAAATTACCAGAGACACATTGTTCATCGTGACCTTTCTTTGTAAATACCAGGGTTAAGATTATTTGTTAAAGTTGGGGTATTGTAGATATATCTCTGCTTCTGAAAACCTTAATTTTAAGATGTTTCTTAAGCAATAAAGAAAAAAATAATAATATTTTATATAGTTGACTACATTTATAAATGATTACATCATAGATATAAACACCTCTGATAGTTTTGAAGAGTTTTACTCATATTTCCTAAGAATCGCAGCAATGGAAACTATTCTTTAGAAGTTGATAACAATTGTTAAATTATGGTTCAAGTTGGTAGGTATTAGCTAGCAGGACAGTTTGGGTAAAAATGTTTACAGTTCAAAAGACAACCACCTTTCAAGTGGAGAAAATCTGCTGTAAGGGGAAAGTCTAGCAAAAAATCTGTTCTTGGTCATTTTATACTTTTGACTTGATTCCATTTATTTTAGTATTTAAAAAAAAAAAAGCCAGATATTCCAGCACACATAAGATTTCAGATGTTTTGCTTTTTTGCAATTTCTGTTTTGTTTTATTCATTTATTTCTTCGGCGTTAATTACCTAAATCTCACTTTAGACTCTCATTATTTTACATTTACAGAAAACTGAAGGTTTATATACTGAACATGGTTCTCAAAATGGCAATAAATAAATACTATAAAGTCCAAAAGACCACAGGTGATTGGAAATTACATATTAAATTGAATTTGATCAATAAATTGTACATGTCAGAAAGACACCATTTGTATGGTAACCTCTTTAGAATACCAACACTCTTGTTCAATATATTATTTCACAGTAAAAGGAAATATTAAAGGTAGGCATCAATCAACTCTTAAACACTGTTCTATATCACGTTAAAGTTTATTCACATTCAAAAATTCAAATTATTGCATGCATTATTCATCCAAGTTCATAATATTTTTACTTTACATGTCATACAATAATATGAACAGGACATGGTAAAAAGGAGCATGATGAACACATTGTCTTATTGTCCATGTCCCTTTGTATATTTGAACCCTGCTCAATAATAACACTGAGCTTTCATCAAAAAATAGGAATGTATCAAGTTACACACTCAGTAAACATACAGAGACAGTCAAATGTATTAGCAATATCACCAAAGATGTGAGCAAGCAATTTCGAATAAATCCTCCTCATCCTTTACAGTGAAATTTATTTTTTCATAACTTGATGCAAGGAAAAAATAATACTTATTTTCATATACGTATATTAAGTCAGAGGGGAGATTATATTTAGGTGAGCATATTCAGAAAGAGTAACACTGTTAAAACTCTAATGATTGCATAATGATGTACAACATAGTTACAGCTTTCCTGTCTCCTAATATGTTGTTGGTTATTTCTAGGTGATGCTCAGGAAATCGGTGTATCTGACTCTTTCGGTTTACTGTGGCTGCAGTCTGCTGGCTGGAATCGCGTCCTTACTTTTGCCTATCGAAACTCTGGGCAGGGGTCTACAGGAGTCCGGCATCGATCAGGAGGCCGTAGGGCAGACAACCGACATAACCCATCAGTCAAATGGTACAACACACAATATCGACCAGAGATAGGTCAACCAGGAAAAAGATCAATGATGTTTTGTGCCTTCTAAGGAAACATTTGACTATAGAGTGATGGACTGAATTATAAGACTGATATAGTGCCGAGCTGAAGGAAAAGTTTCATTACAGGACAGTAAATAACTAAAAGTCTGGTCTTTGTTTCTAGTGATGATAGAGGGATGTTTGTACTTGAACTGTTTCGTTTATTAAGACCAATAGAACCTGTATGTGCTCTAAGAACAAATTCAGAAAAAAACACCAAACATTTAGAATCCCAAACTAAATGTTCCCATTACTCCTTCTGTTATATTGTTTACCTAAAGTCTTACTGTAAAAAGTATGTTTGGATGAAAAACTGTAAGACATGTTCAAATGTTTGTTTTTGATTAACCACATATAGGAACATTTAAACTGTTTTACTCTACATGGTGCTGCTATATTTCTGATTTAGAAAAATAACAAAATATGTATGGGCCAAATGGGAAGATCAATATATTGTTTTAAATATTCTCTTGGCTTAAGAGTTTGTCTACTGGTCTGCATATGTTTGTTTAATTTAAACTGAATAAAAACACATCTTAGTCATATAAAACCTGACAGACTGAGAACAGAGAATTTCTTAGTAGAATTTATTGTTTTTCTGTATTCGTGAGTTTATGTTTTATTATTGTTATGTTTTACTTTTCAACTATGGTTTTTCCAAATTGAAAGGATCTATATATTAATGCATTATGATTGAGCATCTTTTTAAGATGGGGAAAAAAGCTTGAACTTATCATTATGTTGCCTTTCTTAAGTAATCATATCCCATAAAATTTTCCACATTATAACTTAACAGCTATTTATTATAATTTTGTTAATTACAGAAGCACAACTTGAACTTCGAAGAAAATATGTTTTCATATGAAATTTTGCAAATAAAAATATGAAAACTATTTAGGATTTGTCATTAGCTGCCTTCCACATTTTCTTATAATTATTTTTACTTTAAACATTTTGCTGCTTTTTCAGTTGTGAGTTTTGATGGCAGCTCTCTACCCACACATTAACAGACTCATGTTTTTGTCCATTCTTCAACGCAAAATAACTCCAACTCACTTTGATTTAAAAAGATCTGCAGTTATAGAGCTTTATTTTATCTTTTTTTTATTCAGCTCTGAGCATTGACTACTTATTTACTGTTCTTTTTATTTTTTATTTAACATTCTTTGAGCTCATCTCTTCCATTGGAATACATCTCTGGCTGCAGTCTTGTTACCGTGAAGATGAACTTGTTACCCCAGCTCAACTCTTTAGCAGCCTTTAAAGCGTTTTCCTCTAAAACTGCCCTGTATTAAGAATTACAGAATAAATCCACTACCAAAGCATAATGCTGTCATCACAATGCTTCATTGAGGAAATGTTGTGTTGCTGTGATAAAAATCAGATAAAATAGGCCAGAGAAGTAACATCAATTCCCGTGGTTTTACCTCCTCATTATTGCAGACATTTATACCATGTTAGCTGTGCAATAAAATCATTATTTACATCAGAAATTGATTGATGGAAATAGAGTAAAGCTCATGTTTAAAGCTGAGTTCAATTCATTATTTATATTTGTTATTAAGTAATATTTTTTGAATTATGTGGCTGAGGGAAAGTAAAAAAATGAATATGAATAACAGGTATCTACTTATTTCTACTTATAGACCTGCTTAGTTACACAGAATAGGTTGTGAAAATTAAGCTACAAAATTCAACATGATCCTATTGGTAACATAAATTCATGTATATATATATATATAAGTGCTTATATTTTTTTTGATTAATAGATTAATAATCGGATAGCCAAAGGTTCCTTAAAGAGAATTTTTCACTAAATTAAACCAGGTCAAACTAAAACTTTTCCACTTGAGGAATCCTGGATTGAGCCTGACAGATGACAACATTATGTTATCTTAAATTCAAAATATTTATATATTTTCTTTTACAATTGTAATGTGATTCCTGTTCTAAGTGGTTTTTCAGCGCCTTATTCTTCTTTGCAGGGCTGTCTTGTCTGCCATCTTGCTGCCAAGTTTCAACACTTAATGGGAGTACATTTATTTTAATAAAAATGTATACTTTAGCAATTAATGATCACTTGGATACTGTTAATCAGGGGTTTAAATCACACCCATCATGGCGATTCGATTCAGTATTGATTCCTGACACAACGGTTCGATTAATTTTGATTCTCAAGAATACACCACGATAAGATTAGATTAATTGGTTCAATCTTTTTTACCTTACAGGCTAGAAAATGTTTCAAATGTGAAATAAATCAATGAAAGCTGTAATATATTTAAGCATTTCATTTGAGAAACAACAGCAAATAACAGAAGTAGCAAAGTTGTTCCAGGAGCAAATGGATAAAAAGATGAAACCATGAATCAATACTCTTGCGGACGTGTCAATGCATCGGATCGCCGGCCATTGGATCGATGCATCGATACAAAACGATTATTATTAACACCCCTACTGCTAATAACTGTTATTTGCCATCTATCTGCTACATTTATAAAATGTCTTTTGGTTTAACACTACAATAGCTGTTATTTTTGAAAAATATTCTTACTCAGCTTATATATATTTGAAAATAGATTTATTCTATTGTAATCTTATTTCATTTGACTATAATTTCTACTATAATTTTGTGACTACTATTTTCTAATTCCTATAACTATAATTTAAGTAAATACATGCATGAGCTTTATTTTGTAGGCTTTTTTTTCCTGTTACTTTTATAATTTCTATGTCAGTTTTATCAAACAGTGTTCCTGCAGTATTTTTAGTTGGAATAATATCAGCAGCATGGTATGGGAGTTCCTAGTCTGGTCTGTCACCTTGACAACATTGGCCCAATGACAGCTCACACGCGAATTAGGCCAGCCAATCAGAGGCAGCCGCCAAAGCTGCATGTCATTTCTGCTCTGCTTTGCTACCTGCAGCGTGTTTTGTTTGTCTGTCTGCCGTCATAACCTCTGGGACCGCTGGCTGGAGTCAAGCACGGGACGTCTGCCATCCTCTGCCGCTCATGAGGGCTCCGGTAGCCACCGAGAGGAACCGGCGCGGGGTCTGTGGAGTCTATTATTGCTGGAGGAGAATCTGACTAGGCATTATTTTTTGCCCGGTGATAGAGGCAGAAGCAGCGGCGCATCTTTCTCCCCTCCCTTCCCTGCTCCTCTGTTGCCCTCCACGGCCGCCGCAGTCCACCGACCATGGCCCTGGTGACTCTGCAGCGATCCCCCACCCCTAGTGCGGCATCCTCGGCTAGCAGCAGCGCGGGGGAGGTGAGTTAGGGAGCCGGGGATGGGGATGCATGTGCTGGGTGTGAGGAAACGCTCCTGCAAGGACCAGTACAGTTTTTCCTCAGAGACCAATATGCTGCAAAGGCTGTTGTTTTGGGAGTTTTTGTTTGTTGCAGCTTTTGCCGCGGATTTGTAAACAAAATCCTGCAGAGGGGGAGGGGAAGCTGCTCAGGGTTTAGCTGTCAAAGTGCTCATTTTGCACTGGGAGCTCAGCTGGCTCTCTCTGCTTGTTTACAGGGATTTGCGCGCTCACAGCTTCTGCAATTTAGGAGAAAAGCAGCTTTTTTTTTTTACTTAGTTTAGTCCACAAACTCTGGCCTTTGCCTATGGCCTATTTGTGATGTAATAAACCTTAGAAACAAGCTGCATTACTGAATGACTGATGGTTTTATAGAATTGGTTACCTTTGTAATGATGTTAAATTTGTCTGGAAAAAAAGCACCTATAAGCAGATTTTTATTCTGTCTGTTGACTTATATGTTTTTGCAAATTCTAAGTTCTGCTATAAATATTATAAAAATAATAGAGTTTGGGCTTTAATTTTATAACAAACCAAAAAATTAAAAAACTACTTAAGCCTCCCATATTTGTGAAATACTCTTTTACAAAGCTGCAAGGAAAAGTTTATGATATCTCTTCTTCAACATAATGGTATAATCAAAGAGGAAGAAAATGCGCTGTCTGAAGTGAGCTACTGTAAACACTTTTAAGGACTTAATAAAATTACAGTACATATCTGACCAGCAGATGGCGCTGACTTATTCTTGAGAAATAATTACTTCCAACTGCAGCAAAACGTGTAACATTTAATGAATACATTTAGATACATTAGTATATTAGATTAAAAATACACCTGAAACTGCAAAAAATAACGTAAATTCTCACATAATGTTTGTTTGTTTAGTCCCGTTTATGTATAGGCAGCCTAGCCAAGAATAGTATCATACTATAGTCAAAATACTAAAGTTTACATTAAATTTATCGGATAATTTGAATCTTGACATTATGTTGAACTTTTAAAAAAAATAATTTATTTGTGTGCAAATGAGGCAGGGTTGCTGCAAATTCTATTTTTTGCATCACTTATCAGTGCTGAAGTATATTCTGGTATCACAATAAACAAGTGGTACCCATAAAGGCATCTATAGGGCGCAATTTAACCTTTAATCTGAGAATGTAACCTTTAGTCTTTATTTGGGACATTTATGCCATTCTCTGCTTTTATTTAAAGGTTTAGAGAATGATCTTTTATGTCTGGGTAGATCATTTAAATAAGTGGTCCTCCTAATTGTCAATCATTCTGGTGATATGTCTAAGTAAGGCGGTCCTACACGCTTTTCCCGTTAGCTACCTTTTTCAGCGCGTGCGCACTTTCATCCACAAATCTATGGTGAGCTATGGTTTCAGATAGTCATTGAAGCTCACCTTTCTCACCACGGTTCTTTGGAAATTACCAAGGGTCATAACAGAAAAGAAAGGTCTCAGACGAGGCAGATAAATCCCATAATGCTCTGCATGAAGGCTCTCCTCGCAAAGCATTATGGGATTTGCTGTCACGGTGGCTGTCACTACCCGATCCGTCCCGGAAGCATGATCCGTTCTGCACATGCGCCATCAGCTCATTTGCGCATCCAGATATACTTCCGGTTCGTTCATCCTCGATTTTATTTTGTTAAAAATACCTAGATCATGTTTTCCCTTCCCAAAAATAGTAAACATACTAAAATATAACATGTTAAAGGTTGATAATGTATTTCTTATAAAATAAAATAAATAAATTATAAGATAAATGCCTTGAAATCCTTTCTTTTATCAGCTGTCTGTGCCTGATCTGCACCGGGAAATGGGATCCTACGCTACTTCGAGGAGCTAACTTTTTCGCTTTGGATTTAAACATAAATCTAGTGTTTTTGAGTTTTATGGTTTCGTTTTGTTTTAACCTTATGCTATATAGTGCGTAATGTAAAGAAAGAAATAACTAGAATGCAGATAAACATGGTTTAATCATATTTTGCCGGACTGCTCTGAGCATGTCCGATGATGACGTCAGAGAAGCAGTTTAACGAAGAAAATGTAAAAAGCTTAAAAGTTGTCTCACAAAAGTCAGAAAACATTTTTTACAGATGTGTATTACTATTCTTTATTGCGCTAAGGATAGAAATAAGTAGTTTTAGTACCATGATTACATTATTTATGGACAATCAGATGTGTATCTGTTCTTGCATGCACAGAATGGATTGTGCTTCTGGGACGGATTGGGTAGTGACAGCAGTGACTAATTACAAAGATGTCGCAGGCACCACGCAGAGAAGGAAACGGTCAGTTAACTGAGTTTCCTATAAAGTCCACTATATGTGGACATATAGCATATGCTGTATGTGGACACAGTAAGCTTGTATGAGCTATGAGAACAGCACATTTTAAACAGGGCGCGCACAAGGAGAAATTGGCTTGTGCATGCATTGCATGAGCTTGTTTTCTTTTTTTTTTAAAGTGGAGAGGGGCAGGTCTTTAAAAAAAATTCCAGAATACCTTTAAGACATTTGAAGCAAACATTTTTAAACCTTAAAATTTCAACCATTTATAATGCTGCTGTATCGGTTACTTTTTAACAGAACAGCTTTAAACATATTTTAAGGATTTTTTTTAGCAGCGTAATCATTGCATCTCTAAAAATTATATTTCCCTTATTTTTAATTGGGGATAATTTTATTATTACCTAAAAAAAATTAAACTATAATAGTACACCACTGATATGAATCCATTCATTTATCATTGCTGTGTTATTTAAATTCTGTTCTTTGTTTTCTCTTTTTCTTTTTTATAGGATTTTGGAAGTGATGATGACAGGAAAAATAATCAGAGGTAAGAACTATAAAACTTACAGAGACCATGCTTTTTTTTTTTATAAGTGCTTAATATTGTTTTTTTGTTTTTTTTACACTGTATGATATGGAATCAATGAATTTTTTGTGCCTATCCTCTGACATTAAATCAGGCTTAAGTTTTTCAAGTTTTAGGTCTGTTTGGATTTTTAATGTTATATATTTTACTCCAAAGATATAGATTTTATTTTAACTTTTTTTTAAAGTCAATGGCCATAGATACACCAAGTTTACAGTTCCTTTATGTATTTTGTGTGCATTATGTATTTTTTCTAGGGTTGGGTACCGAACTTCGGTTCTTTTATGGTACCGACCGAAATGCTTCGGTCCTACAGAGTATCGAAACATGCCTCGTCTTTCGGTACCAAGTTTCGGTGATTGGCTGTAACACTTAACGTGATTGCGTCATCCAGGAAAAATACACAGGTGGTCACGCCTACAGCCATGGTTCATGTGTATCTGTTGTGAACTGGTTGCGAGCGTCGCGGAACCCCTTTAAAATGCCCCCCAGGTCAAAAGTGTGGCTTCACTTTATTAAGACTGATGCCAATAGTGCGCAATGCAGTACACCGTGCACGGAAACAATTTAAGAGCAGAAAGTTGCTCGGTGTTTGACTGCAAGAAGAGCGGACAGCAGCCGGCGTGACCATCCTCCTCTCAGCAGCCCGTGGGCAGAGCAAAGCCAGCAGAGTTAATCATGCTGCTTTCACACCGGACGCAGCAGGAGCAGCAAAATCGCGTCTGCTGCTTCATTTTTTGCTGCTTGTACCAGCTTCTGACGAGCGGCTGAAGCAGCTTTGCTGCTCTGGCTGCGCGGTGCAAAAGTGTGTCTGACGCGCGTTGGGCGGAGCTACTCTATCCTTTATTTGCCTTGCAGCTATATTTGCTGTGATCAGTGGGAATAAAGTAGTTTTATTATGTTTTTAAGTGGGAAAATCCACCATATTGGGATTGAAGGGATACTCATTTTTTGGGGAATTAAACATTTCAGCTAAACCAAACTAGCTTCAAACTTGGATAATGGGGTTTCTTAAAGACTGAGGTTTTGACTTTGACTGGACTATTGAAACAATTTAATTTATTGCAGGTGCTTGATTGTAGTCAGCTGCTGGTTTTAGTGTTATGGTTTTGTTGTTTCTAAGGTTTTATAGCTATAATGGCCTTTATTTATAAGTTGTTGGACCAAAGGAAGAGCAGAGAAGAAAGCGGAGGACATGCAGTGAATGGCCTTGGACTGGTGGAAAACAGGGACGTTTATCATTATACCCAGCATTAAGCTTATTGACATTTGATCTCCTAAACTGGGAATTAATCCTGTATAGAGATGACTTGATAATCAACTTATTTGACTGCACGGTTTCTAGCTTTCTGGTCTACAAATTAAGCACGTATCATCCACCCGCCATATCTAACTGTTAGTGAGCTGATAAACTTGGTTTGTTTTTCACAATGCATGGTTCTGTAGATTATGACCAACCATCTCTGCTTTGGTCTCTTTATTTCTTGAAATTTTGTCTTTAATTTCAGCCACAATTAATACCATACCAAAGTCACTCCTACCCCTGTTAGTCCAGATATATAATTATTTTATTCAGTAAGGAAGTTTGTTTATTGATAAGTAATGATACACGCATCTCAAAAAATGAGGGTGAAAAGAGAAATTTGTTATAATGGCTATTCCATTTTAAAAATGGCATGTTAAAATTATTTCTTAATAATTAAAAAAATACTTTATTGGCTTTAGAACAAAATGCCTATTTAAATTGTGTGTTATTAACAAGTTTTTGCACGTTTCAGTGGTAGTTTGACAATAACTTTAATGATGAGGCTAGAAAGTCCTCCTTTCCATCACCCTAATCTTTAGGGCCTTTCAACACATTCTGTATACAATTCAGATCTGTGCTCTAAATGTGCATCACCTCAAAATTTGAATAGTATTTCCTGTCTGAAGGGAATGACCTTGAACATATATCTGGCAGGCATATGAATAAACTTGGGCTTAACTGTAAGTCACAAGTCGCGCAGAAATGTTCTGTTTAAATAGGGGAAACTTTCTTTGATTAACCTTTTGAATCAAGCCATATTTTTTCAATCTGTTACTAACTGTTCTGTTGACAACTTTAACATTGTGATCAAGGCCCCCAGTAAGGAGTTACTTAGTTTTCCTCAGCATTTTTCCATGTTGACATTATTTGTACCAGTTTGAAAACTTTGGTTGCTGCACGTCCCTTGTTCTATCTTTGTTTTATATATATACAACAACTTGGTATTGTGGTGAGGTCTAAAAGAATACTTTGAACAATGTTGAGAAGATTTTTAGTTTCACTTTATCTTGAATAAGGCATATTTTTGACAGACTTATAGCCCAGATTGTCCTGCTCCCTGCCTTTTCCACACTTAATATTCCCCTCAGTAGTTTTCAGACAAAGCAGAGGAAAATGAATTCAGCGTGACAAGTTTTTAAAAACAGCTTCTCATACTCTGTTACATAACAAATAGTGCATAAACTTTTGTCCCTGCTCAGAAACAAGACTTTTCTTTATCCAACCAACGTCACAGAAGTCAAGGCATTTGTCAGCAAAGCTTTGCCAAACACTAATGCCTTTGTTGGATTTGTAGGCTGGGAAAAAAAAGCCTTGTCATGTTTGGTGATTCGTCACTGGTGTGAAGCCTTGATTGCCGAATGTCAAACATGAGACGTTCCCACCCGCCTGCACACTTTCAGTCTAAATGAGGGTATTGTTGCAGAGGGTTTCTCAGCTGATGGATGAATCACGTGCTGCATCAAACAGCCGGCAGCATGGGCATGAAAGAAGCGCCGGGGCTTGAGGTGACGATTAAGAACATGGAAGATGACATGTATCAGGCTGCTATAGGAGATTGGACACAAAAGAGGAAATTGGGGGTTCTTTTTGGATGAGGCTTAGCTTTTCTTAGGTGACTGAAAATATTAAAACCAGCAGGATGCATCTAGTTTTAAAGTCTTCACATGGAGCTATTTTTAAAGAACTGCCTCACTTTGTAGAGAAAGCTTCTCTGACTCGGAAGGAGATCTGTCGCATGTAAGTTCCCACAGCAACATTACATTGAGTGATTGGGCTCATAGCAACAACTAAGGGTTCATTTACTATATTCATATTTTTTAAAGGCCTTCAGCTGCAGTACTGTTGGACCTATAAATTATTGGGGCATTAAAAGGCACCTAAACCTAGGAGGTGGGTCAGTATGTGTAAGCACACCATAGACAGCTTAATGGGGAACACGTCTATAATGTTGCTGCTGTTTTCAAATATCCATTACTATAAAAATGTCCATAGCTGTATATTAGTTATTTATTTTTCATGTACACAGCTTTTATATTGTTAAAACACTTTACAGTACAGTATTTTTATTGTTCATATTTTAACTATTCACTATTATTATATTCTTATACATTTTTCTAAGGTCCAGATTTGTGTGACAATTGTTTCTATAATCTTTTTGCTGCTTTAAACACCAGAATTTCCCCATTGTAGGACAATAAAGGGATTTTCTACTCTATTCTGTTCTATTTCGAACAGGTTCTTTAGCTGTTTTGTCAACAGCAGCTTGTTGCAAAAACAAAATCTTTGCCATTTGCTTTGATTCGGTTAAACAAAAATATTAAAGACCTTCAGAAACTACAGGAATCTGTTTGGGCTGCTTTATTTATTTTTCTTCTGTTTTTCCCTCAGGTGAAGAAAAAGATAAAATAGTGGTAATATAAGATCAAATGTTTGTGTTTTTACTGTCAAACTGATTGAAGCTTAGATGTAGCTAATGCAATAGATATGAATGTAGGTTTATTAGAATGCAAATAAATCCTATAGTTAATCAATTTCAACCACTCATTGCCAACAAAATACCTTCAATATTACCTTTTTGATGTGATAAGTATACAACAACCAGCTTTATTTGCTTTTCTATATATAGTATATTACTTTGGGATACCGTATGGACCCCACTTTGTGGTGGTTTGAGGGAAATTCCCAACAGTAGCCACTAATGAGTTTAAGCCTAAGAGGATTTTCTGTAAAATCAGTTTGCTTTCAACTTTTTTTAACCTTTTGTCAGGATCAATTTTTTTATTTGTTTTTTATGTTTTTCTATATTCCAATATTCTCCACAAATGGGCCCCTGATTTAATTTTATTTTATTTCATGTTTCTAATCGAATCCTTCTTACAGTGGCTGTCATTTGCGTTCATTACATTTTTGTATTACTACATGGTTTCCCAGTGTTTGCGGCATTAAATCACATATTATTATAGTAATGACATATTATATTAGTAATAATGAAAGCAGAATATGTTTATCTACTCAAACTGCAAAATAAATGCACATAGTTTGGGGAAGAAAGTGTATTGAAATTTACAGATTTGTACCAACTCAGGTTCTTAAGATATTTGTGTTTTCAGAGTTTACTCTGCAATGCACCTCAGTATCTATAATGGCTTTAGGGTCTAATTTTAGTTCAAATACATGATATTATTCCGTTTGGAATCAAATTTAAGTGGGTCAATGTTATTTAATGGATAAAATCAGTGGCAACTGCTGAGAAGTTAAAAAAAAACGCAGATTAACCGATGGAGGAATGATATGTTGGTGAAGAGGAGCTGGGTTGGGACTCTACTCAGTTTTATTTGGCAGAATCCTGCTGCTAGTAGCAGATAGTTTTTAATTTTTGTGGTAAAAGGTTAAAGTACCAGAATATACAATCCAATATTTTAAAATTGTTTGTTTATGTTGGTATTTTTAAAGTGGCAAAAGTAAAAATTTTCTGAACTCCAGCGTCAGACTCCAAACGCCTTGATGCGCTGCTCCCAACGCTGGACCTCTCTACGCCATCCCCCATAGACTTTGCATGTAAACATGACGCTTTGACGCCCAGAACGCTTATGGTGTGAACGCAGCTTCACAACTCATGAAATAAAGCGGCAAAATAATTGAAAATTTACTGAACTCTAGTTTTTCTGTTTTCACTCTAGTGTTAAGTACGCTTATCTAAATAAAATAAAAAACTTTCATTAGACTTGCTGTTGGCATGTCTAATGCCTTACTGTAAGTTGTGTTGGTATTCTTTTTCAGGGCTTTTTATTATTTATTTATTTTATTTATTCTTTTGCTTTTTTCCAGCATCAGTGAGAGTTTCTTTATGGTCAAAGGAGCTGCCCTGTTTCTCCAGCAAGGTGGCAACACAGAGGAACCAAAGACACCGACGCATCACAAACATGCAGGTAAGAACTAAATTATACTAATGGAGCTTTGATCCACTGGTTTCTGCCATTATCATCTGCACAGCAGCTAAAGTCAAGACAAAACTAAATACTTGTAAGTCTCTAAAGGTATTTGTTTAGTGTAGCTCCTGACTATGCTATCTAAACTTTATTACAGTTTTTAGTCCGTCTTCATTTTTTATGTTATATTTTTTAATTATCCACTTATATTCCTTTTAACTATTTGTTTTGCCTCTATCCTACTTTTTCTCATTGATATCACTTTGAATTTTCCTGCCACTGAAATGTGCTATACAAATAAACTTGCCTTGCCCTTATCCTAATAACAGATTGCAGAAACTGAAACCTTCAAGCGTTTCCAATTACCGTACTGTATTTTACATCCTTTTCCAGCCGTTTGGAGCATCTTGTCTTAGCTAAATTGTTTTAATACAGCCTCACTGGATAGTTTTTTTTTTTAGGATAAACAGCCTTTTTCATTGCAATCAGATTTCGTTAGGCAGCTTCAAAGGACTCCTTTTGTTGGCCCTTCAGATTTTGGCTTGTTGGTTTTCCTTAACCCATGTTTGCTTGCACATAAGTTTGCATCTTGATGGCAGTGCATTTTTCCTTAGCCTGCTCTGTCAGAGGTTCGTTTGGAAAAATGTGAGTTGAACATTTGTGTTAATTATGGTCATCTTTGGTTTTCATCTTGAAACTCCACCTAACTTGACTGCTGTAGTTCCAGGTAGAAACATATTGTCTTTGTTAATGTTCTGACTGCATTGGTCAGACAAAGAGCTTCTCTAACTACTTAAACTCAAACATACAGCTGGGATGGATTTGCCATGCAAATTACCCAAAAACAAATCACATATGGTTTGGAACAAACAAGTGTGATGTTAAAATAAGTTTGTACCTAAAGGAGCCTGAACCCCGTCTCTAAAACTTCTCACAGAGGAAAACAACTTCTTGCGTGTTATAAGGATAAGCCTCAGGCATCGCCTTGTCTAGCAAGTGTGCAACCTGAGTGAAAACCTTTGTGCAATAAAGCAAACACAGCAAGCTTCCATTCAGGTTTTTAAATTAAGAAAAGAGGAATGGATGGGAAATATTTTTTTCCAACCACAATGTCCAGTGTTGAATACATTTCATTAATAGCGATGGATGTCTCTGAGTTTCTTAAGTTTTTCTGAACTCGTTTTTACTGATTTACCCACACTGGTTTCAATACATTTTCCCTTAATAAATAAAGCCCTCATTTGAGATAAACAGTTTGCATTTACTATTGTCTTTATCTGATAATGTTTGTTTGAGTCTGAATTGTTTAACTGATATAAGAGGCACAATTGGAATAAATCTGTTGAGGGCTAATCCATCTCTATAGCACTATGTAAAATTCCGAGATGATCTGTAACTTATTCATTACATGTTAATAATTCTCTTTTAGGTGATTTACCTCAACATCTGCAGGTGATGTTCAAGATCCTACGGTCTGAGGATCGCATCAAGCTGGTATGTTTCTTTTCTTGTGCTCACATCACTGCATTTGCATAGGGCTCACACATTACTAAATCAAAGATACAATTATACACAGTTAATAGCTAATGTTATGGGCTCTAATAACAAAGATGCAATATGATATGCACTGCAAAATGAAGCTGATGACTTGTTTATTTAAACATAAAACTTAAATAGCATCTATGAACCAAGTCATTATCAAGTGCTTCGTTCAACAATGACTTTGTCGCTTCCAAGTTGTAAAGACCCTAAACCCCACTCTGCTCCCCCGGGAGCCACACAGTGGAGGCCCACTGCTCCCCAAGGGGATGGGTTAAATGCAGAGAGTTAATTCCTCCATTGTGATATCACTAAGGTTCTATTCATTGTTATTTATTTATTTTTCACTCCCTTAAGGGCAGATTATACTTCTGCAACAGCACACATCAAATGTCGCTTGCGTCTGGTCGCAAACCTGTTTTGCTGGTTGCTTCTGCAACGTCGTTCTGGAATTTCTAGGGACACACAGCAGTTTCCCGGCAAAGCGCTATGGGGAGCCTATTCGAGAATTCACGAGAACTTCCTCGGCCGCGCCGGCGGGAGTGTTCATTTTCCAAAACAACATGTCTGAGGCATCGTACAAGTGGTTGTACTTCCGAACCTCCTCAATCTACTGATAAAAACGTTCTACAGGGATGCTGCCTTACACTGGTAGCTTTATTTATTAGCTTCCCTTGTAAAATGGTATTTAAATGACTATGGAAACGTTTCCTTTGCTATCAACTTCTGATCAGTATTATCTGTTTTGGCGGGGGAAAATATGATGTCATCATGTAATTTAGTCACTTACCACTGAGATTAGCTGTTCCCAACTCTGCCTTACCTATGTACAATCAGATTTTATCCATCCATCCATCCATTTTTTAGCACGCTTATCCCGAGTGGGGTCGCGAGGGGTGCTGGTGCCTATCTCCAGCTGTCAATGGGCGAGAGGCCGCAGTGAACGGTGGGACATCCCCGTCCCCTCCGAAGACACTCTGGTGCACCTCTTCAAAATTTTAGGTGACCTGCAGACTGTAGGAAGCCTCTGATTAGTGGAATCTACATCCACTCTACACATGCGTATTTCCAGTTTGGTACCTTACTGGCCTGTTTTGTTTGTATGACCGCCATGGCAGAAAATGACCCATGAAGTTGGACCAGTTAGAAGAGTGAGGTGAGAATGCTGGGACCCTTTATCCACCCAGATTCCCGCTCTTTTTCGCCCTCATGTCCCTCTGTTGTCGTACAAACACCCCCCTTCTTCCTCACCGCCTACGTCGTATCTCGACCCACAGCTAGTTTGTGATTGTCCCTCTTGCATCGTGGAGTGGAATTCCATAGCGCAGACCATGCTTCAAAATTGAGCAGAAATCAAAAATGTCTGCTTCATACCTGCGACACACTGCTGCGGGAGTATAACCAGCCCTTTAGTCAGATGAGATGATGTTTATGCTTTACATCTGCACAATGATACATTTTTATGACACACTTCGTGTCGTACCAGAAACTACTCTGTGCAAATATTCTACTTTTGGGTAAAATAAAATGTCTTTAGATCAAACTTTTTCATATGTGACACTAAACACATACGAATGAAGGATTTGTAATTAATTGGAATACTTGACTATTAAATCTCTAATATTTGCAGACAGTGTGAGTCTAAAGTAGGTTGGTCACAGTATCCGTGCAATATTCACGACTGATTCCAAAAACATAAAACTGGGGCTTCGATGGGCCTTTCTGCAAGAAAATTATCAAAATTATTATTATAAGAAATGTGCAAAATATTAACACAGAAATAGTTCACCACATGCAAAATCACTCATGATTCAAGATCTACTCAGTTCCAGATGAAAATAAATAAATAATATAAAAAATAAAGCTTAACATCTTAACTTCCACTGTGTCGCCAGCGCACAGTTTTGTATCTTTAGAATGGAAACAGCACTACATTTGAAAATAAAACCAGTTAAACTTTTACCAATATAGACATACATACATCTTTAGAAAGCTTAGATTCTCCACAATTCAACTGCCAAGTTCATTTTATGGAAACTATGAGCACCAAAGCACAATTAATAAAGATATAGCAGCATGTTAAATCAGAATTTTTAAAGTAAAGCTTTGTCTTCCTACCTTTGAAGTGATTCTGAGGCCGTATTATAAACCTAATCTTAGATTGTTTATATTCCATTTGTCCGTAAGGGTCCACAAATAAAAACGAATCAAGTAAATCGCCACATAAAGTTCGTTGTTTACCATCAGAAAAGTTTGATCCTTATAGTTAATGCTAAATGTCTTGCTAATTATCCTAGTCCCCACAAACATTAAGGATCAATGTTGGGTATGTTTGTTTTCCCTTACCTTCCAGCCTACAGACAAAGTTGTCCCCGTCTATTATGTTTTGAGATTTGATGCCGGGACATCCCTTCGAAGCGTCACCAGCGTTCCCCATCAGTCGCCTCCTTTAAGCCTGATTCCCCTCATATTATGGCTTATAAAGTCCGCTGCTATTGGTTAAGTCCAAGTGCAATTTGTGGCTCTGTAACCAATAAAATGACCTTAAAACAAGGGTAAGCATTGCTAATTTGAATAGTGCCGCCTGGATATATTGCCGGGCATAAACGGCACACACACACATTAGTGATTGGATCATTGCAAACTGTTAGATAATTAGATGGAAAGTTAGAAAAACAATATTTGCTTCAAAAATGTTTTTTTTTTTTTTTTTTTTTGGGGGGGGGGGGGGGGGGGGTAAAAATTGTTGTGTAAAAGCAATAAGCACAATTATGAATAATGAATAATTTGACACATTTTGAGAGGTTTAGAGAGGCTGCTGACTCCAGAAGTTCAAAGTCACAAAGCTCTGGAACTGTTACACCTAGAGGTCTGAAATTTTCTGCAGTTGTGGTTGATATGATGCAGAATAAATGGAATACAATGACACATGCATATTTTCAAGCATGTCTTCATTACTGTTATTTGAAAAAAAATATTTTCTAGAAGAAACAAAACAATTACGAGTCATGTTTTAAATGCTGCACTATGTTCATTTATATTTTCAGAAATTAGAAGGTGTTAGAGTTGAAATGATGATCACGCTTATAATTTCAAAGTTCTGTACCTTAGAAAAAGGTTGTATATAAAAAAGCTTTGCCAGTAATAGTTAGATATATACTTAAATAATTGTGTAAGGAAGTATTTAATAATTTGTTACTCTGCTGCTGCAATTTGCAGCCAGTTAATTAAGGCACTCTCAAATCTTCTCCAGTGTAGCCAATAAATATGACTTTCACTGCACTAAAGGTTTAAGTTGCATTTGATCTCATCTTGAAAGTATTATCTTCTAGCTTCTTGATGTCTCCTTTTGTCTCCAAGGCGGTTCGCTTAGAAAGCGGATGGTCGGAGAGAGTGCGTTATATGGTTGTGATTTACACCAATGGCCATCAAGATACAGAAGAAAACATTGTTTTGGGAATGGACTTTACTGATAAGAACAGGTCTTTTCTCTTTTAAGGCTCTATATTTTGCATTATTTCAGATAATTTGATTTACTAAAGTTATGTTCTGGTTATTTCCAGTAAAAACTGCTCCATTGGGATGGTTCTGCCTCTGTGGAGTGATACCAACATTCATCTAGATGGAGATGGGTAAGATGATGGTTAGGCTTTCTGTGTGCTGCATGCAGAATGTGTGTGTGGGTTGAAATGATGCCAGTGGTGACATACTGCCTCCTAGTGTCAACACAGTAATTTACACAGGAACAGTTTTTGCTGACCTGGTAACATCCTACTGTATCTATGCTGGAGGAATGTTCCATCATTTTAACCATGAACAGTTCCTCTTAAACCATCCAACCTCCATCAGATCCTCCTCTCCTGTTCTTCTTCACCAGAGGCTTCAGTGTGAACACAGCAGGGCGGTCACATGTCTTCAAGCCTGTTTCTGTGCAGGCAATGTGGTGAGTAAAAACCATATTAGTTTCATAGTTTAAGCAGTACATAGTTTCTGCTTAAATTTTCTCATCTGGTATATGAACACAGCTTTATTTCTTTAGATAAAAAGTGGGAATTATTTTTTCTTTTTTTCTTTAAGATAGGTTTTCTAATATTTATGACTCGGGAACTTTATAGGCTCTAAAACTAAAATAATTAAAGAATGAAATCAGAAGGATTTTGTATAATCAACTATTAGTTAAAGGTGATACCTACAAGTTTAACTCCCCCAGCCAGTAAATGGCAACTGGCTGTGCTGTTTGCAAGCCAGTTACCAGGTCCACTAATGCTAACCAAACCAACGTACAGTGGCTTGGGAATTCAGCCCAATTGAACTTTTCAGCCTTTTGCCATATTCCAGGCTTCAAACTTAAAGGTATAGAACTGAAATTCTTTGTGAAAAATCAAAAACAAGCAGAACACAATCATGAAGTGGACAAAATTTATGTTATTCATTTATCTTGAGTTAATACTTTGTAGCCTTTTGCTGCGATTACAGCTGCAAATCGCTTGGGATGTGTCTCTATCAGTTTTGCACAGGGAGAGACTGGAATCTTTGCCCATTCTTTGTTGCTAAACAGCTCAAGCTCAGTGAGGTAGTATGTAGAGCGCTTGTGGACAGCAGTTTTAAGTTCTTTCCACTGGTTATCGATTAGATTCAGGTCTGGACTTTGACTTGGCCATTCTAACACCTGGATGTGTTTATTTGTGAACCATTCCAATGTAGATTTTTCTTTATGTTTTGGATAATTGTCTTGTTGGAAGATAAATCTCTGTCCCAGTCTCAGTTCTTTTGCAGACTCTTAACAAGTTTTCTTCCAGAATGGTCATTTATTTGGCTCTATCCATCTTCCCATCTATTTTAACCATCCTCCCTGCCCCTGCTGAAGAAAAGCAGACCCAAACCATAATGCTTCCCCCACGGTGTTTGACAGTGGGGATGGTGTTTTCATGGTGATAAGCTTTGTTGCTTCTAAGCCAAACATAATGTTTTGCATTGTTGCCAAAAATTTTGATTTAGTTTTCATCTGACTAGAGCATCATCTCCCACGTGTTATCTGTTTCTACCAGGTGGCTTGTGACAAACTTTAGACAAGACTTTTTATGAAAATCCTTAGAAAATGGTTTTCTTCCATAAAGGCTAGATTTTGTGCAGTCTAAAACTGATTGTTGTCCTTGCGCACCACTAGATGTTCTGTGAGCATATTTTGAAAACAATAATTGTTTTGAGAAAAACATTGAGACCTTTAATTGAAAGAAACATCCAATGAAAAAGTCATGACCTTGAAACAAATTTTCATCAACAATAGCATATCAGATGATTTAAAACATTCATACAACAGATTTAAAGTGATGTTCTAAACCTTCTGGCTTTTATTTAAGAATATTTTTTGGTTGCTTAAATTTGAGTTCTTTATGCGTGAAAACTTTACTGTGCTTTATGGTAGCTTAGCTAAAAAAAATGAATGCATGTTTTCAATTTGTATAATTTTACCCTTTGAATTATTCACAGGGTATTAAGGAAATAAACAGAGAATACTTCACAGCACACAGATTACATGAGCCTGTACATATATGTAATCCTTCTCAGTAACAAAAAAAGAAAATTTGTGAAAAGCTCTTCATACATACTATTAAGTATGGTTGAAATACCAGAATAACAATGCAAAACAACTCATCAACAAAAATATGTTTTCCTAAGATGCAAATTCACCTAAATCCTATAAAAAGCCAAAGAAGTGACCTGAGTAGAACATTATAAACACAGCAGTCATGGAATATTCATAAAATAATCATTTCCATCTTCAGCAAATGATAACCCTAAACCAGATTATTTGTCAAGTGGAATATTTATTTTTAGCTCGGGTATACTTAAAGCCTTCTATATTCCCCATTAGGGTCAGTCAGAAGTATAGATTTTTTTTTTTGCTTTGATGAGATCAGCTTTTACTGGACCTGAATATTTCATAACATCAACATAATTTGCTTGTAATGATAAACCTGCCAAACACCACCTGCTGGTTAGTTAAAGGTAAAGTATAAATAAAGTAAATTATAAATAACGGTTGATGAGTTCCCTCCCCAGCAAGCTAGTTACTTTTAGTTATCACATTACCCTCTATTCTGGCTGATGGTGCAAACTGCTTATGACCTAGACTGCTTCTATTCCTACAGGTCTGCCCTGCAGGTCCTCCATAAGGCCTGTGAGGTGTCCCGCCGGTTCAACTACTTCCCTGGTGGCATTGCTCTTACATGGATGGCCTTTTATGAGAGCTGCATCACCTCAGAGCAAAGCTTCATCAATGAGTGGAATGCCATGACCGACCTGGAGAGCACCAGGTCCGACTCTCCCAACATGTTCGTCGACGGGTAAGAACCCGATAACTCGCCAACAGAAACAATTTTCAAGTGTGATTGTTGCTGTTTTTTATATTTTACATTTAATTTGCTCTTTAGGCCAACTGAGCGAGAAAGAACCGAGTGTCTTATCAAGGCCAAACTTCGCAACATCATGATGTTTCAGGATCTTGAGAACATCACCTCAAAGGAGGTTTGTACCAAGCTCCGCCTAAACAATGCAAATTCTATTTTTCATTTGAGCGTTTTGGAGAAATCTTGAATCAATCTTTTTTCTTTTGTCTCAAAACCGTTATTATTTAAAACCAGATCCTTACATCCACTGTATAAAAACAGTCTGACTTTATATAAGACAGATTTTGTTTCTCTCTCTCTTTTTGCCAGTTAGTATTACATTATTATTATTAGTAGTATTTATTTTAAAAAAATCTTAAATATGAAGAGATTTTTTTTTTAATAAATAATAAAATAAAATAAAAAATCTGTGTGGGTGGGTAGCACTGCCGCCTTGCAACAAGAAGATCTCGGTTTGATTCCCCGCCCGGCTCATTCTGCATGGCCTTTGCATGTTTTCCCTGAGCATGCATGGTACTCCGGCTTCCTCCCACAGTCCAAAAACTTCACTGTTAGGTTAATTGGTTTCTCTGAATTGTCCTTAGGTGTGAGTGTGTGTGTGAATGGTTGTTTGTCTCTGTGTGTGTCTCTGGCGACCTGTCCAGGGTGTACTCTGCCTATCGTCCATAGACAGCTGGAGATAGGCACCAGCATCCCCAGCGACCCCAGTAGGGATAAGCGAGACAGAAAATGGATGGATTAAATATGAAGAAATTTACGTTTTTAGTTTGTTTTTGTTTTCTCAATTTTCCAGTGAATTCATAGGTTACAGACTGTCTTTAAGTTTAGTAGCTTTCAATTTTAAACAGAATGATTTGCTCCTGATGTTCAGGGGGTCCTAAATGTGCTGGGACTATTGATCAGTGGGTAAAGTAGTTGTTGTCGGCTTAATTCCAGCTTCCCCCTTTAACTTCTAAGCTGTGCCCCCAGGCAAGGCATTCAACGCCATTTAACGTATAGCACTTCAGTAATACTAGAAAAGTGTTGTAGAAATTGCTTAAATTTGTCCGACTTCCTTGTGACCAAATGGTGTTTTGTGGGTTTAACTTCACATCCCTCTTTGTTTTTTGAGTAAATGGTCAGTGCCAGGAAAGCATTTCTACTTTAGTTTTATCAGACTACAGGGCATTTCTCCAACAGTTAAGGTCTATATCACTGTGTGCGTTAAGAACTTTTAGTATCGGTTTTCTTTGAAGTATAAGTCCTTAGTGGCCTTTCAGCCTGTGTTGGTACAAAATCTCATTCAGCTTCTTCATAAGGTCTTTTGCTTTGCTCTGGGATTAATGCATGCATTTCAGACTGACATTTTTAACCCGCTGTTGTTCTCACTGCAGTGTAGACACTGAAACGGCTTCCTTATAAATGAAAATGGAAGTCATAGTAATCTTTAGTTGCTCTTTACTGTGGCTCTTTTCTTGGTAGTACCAGGTAAGACTGAAAACTGTAACGGGTGCTTTCCTATGAAAATAAATGCAAATAAAGCGTTTTTAGCCCCAAATGAATCAAAGGCATTTCCATGTAAATACTACAATTTAACATCAACTTATAACTGTAATTATAAAATTATCAACTTTCAATTTTGCCTCTGTGAAGTTGATAAATTCAAGTTGAACACAGAAATTTAGAAAAATGTGAACTCATCTACCCTCCAACTGCCTCTAAATGCAGTACTAACTCAAACTTAACCTGAGATTCAGAATGTTAGAGTGAAAATGGCCCTTCAAAATAAGAGCTTAATAAGATTCATGCCTGAAAGGCAACACAAACCCCTTTTCCTGACTGGACATTTCCACGTTGTTTATACCTGCATGAAGTTCTTTGAACACATACATTTAGCTACGTCAGACATCTGGAATTTTTACTCAAAGATGAACCAAACTTATGGAAGTCCATATTTCTCTTCCAGTTGTCTTTTCATTTTTCCTTTCCTTTTTCTATGATAACAAGGACACAGTTTGTTTACAGACTCCTCTGATGAATCCAAATATTGTGAATAAGCCAGCGTTTTAAGTTTTTGAAGACATGACATTATGATCCGGGTACTCCCCAAGTTTAATAAAATGAAAACAAAATTCTTTGTCGTATATTCCTGCATTTATAAATGAAAAATATTCTTTTGTGTGCTAACTAACATAAAAAGGAAAAGATTGGTCTAAAAATGGGTTTTATTTTAAACACAAACTCCTCTTTGCCAGATCCGTAATGAGCTGGAGCAGCACATGAGCTGTAACCTCAAAGAATACAAGGAGTTCATCGACAACGAGATGCTCCTGATCTTGGGTCAGATGGATAAGGCCACTCCTATATTTGACCACGTTTATTTGGTGAGTCACATTTTTGTTTATAAAAAGCAGGTTTCTGCTGCTTTTTAAGGTTGGGTTGAAAAAGTAATTGATTTTAAGGACAAAAGGAGGATTTGCTAAATTTGCTTCAACTTTAAAAGACGTACAGCAGCATGAAGCCCTATTTAAAGCTGTTTAATGGTGAAGTTTGTCACATCACTATATTGGATTTTAGTTTTTTTAAAGGTAAATACAAAAAATTGTCTTCTTACACAAATTAATTTGAAAACTAATGATATTCAAGTTTTGATTAATCATAGCCTTTAATGCCCAATTAGCATATTTAAGTAAATCCAAGATGCTCTCTGGATCATAAAAGGCTGAGGGAATAAATCATTTAGTTCTTCATTTAAAAAATCTTAAACATGCTCTTTTGTTTCTATGTCCCCTTTATGTTTTTTTGTGTTTTATGTCAAGGGTGAAGCAGGAAGTGCAAAAAAAAATGTTATAATGCAGCTTAGGTACTTTGTATATAAGGAGATGACACATTTGTTTTTTTTGGGGGTTTTTTCTAAGTAATTTAAAGCAGTTCCTGCAATTCTGAATAACAAAGATCTGTTATAGAAATTGGATATACTCTATGTTCTGAATAGTTTTCTGCTTTGTTTCCCTGCAGGGCTCTGAGTGGAATGCCTCCAACCTCGAAGAGCTGCAAAACTGCGGGTCAGCCATCATTCATTCTGAGTTCTCAATCTAAAATCCTGAATGTTTTGCTTTTGCCGCATTTAAGAAGTGAAGCATGTCCTTTTGAAATCATTTATTATTATTTAATAAAGAATAAAACTCTACATGTTTCCTCCACAGGGTTGGTTACATTCTAAATGTTACCAGAGAGATTGACAACTTCTTCCCGGGGATGTTCTCTTATCACAACGTCCGCGTGTACGACGAGGATGCCACCGACCTGCTGGCCCACTGGAACGATACCTACAACTTTATTGTCAAAGCCAAGTGAGAGCAATTAACACACGTAAATCTGTGATTATGGAGTTTAGAGGTTTTTTGTCCAAAATGAAGCCAGCAGCCTGATTGCTGCAGTACTAGCACATTAATCTGACATATAATAGGATTTTATCTAATATTTAAAATGTAACACTTAAGTCACTTTAAGAGATAACTGCTTTAAGGGAGTCTCTGAAACCCATCAAAATAGTTAAATAATTAACCAAGTTGACTTTTTTTCCATCATTTATGATTTAGGAAGAATAATTCAAAGTGCCTGGTGCACTGTAAGATGGGCGTGAGCCGCTCTGCTTCCACAGTTATCGCCTACGCCATGAAGGAATACGGCTGGTCACTGGAGAAAGCCTACAACTATATCAAGCAGAAGAGGAGCATAGCTCAGCCAAATGCTGGTTTCATGCGGCAGCTGGCCGAATATGAAGGAATCCTTGATGCCAGGTGAGCTGATCTACAACTTTCCTCCATTTTCCAATGGGACGGAGAGGTTTTAGGGAAATTTGACTTGATGAGATATTTTGGAGTAAGAAAATGTTTTCTTTTTTAATAAAAACATGAATAGGGTTGGGAATTGAAAAGATTTTCACGATTCCGATTCCCTTTTCGATTCTATGAAACGATTCGATTCTTTATCGATTCTTTTTTCGATTCCAATTTGGGGGAAAAAGGAGAACAAACAGTTTGATTATCAGAATCAACTTTGTTTACTTAACTATTGCACAATCTTACAAACTCAACAAGATCAAGATCCCCACAGGAAATGTGAAAC